TTGAGTATAGCCGTATTCCCTCCAATGGTCGAACGTACGTTTCCGAGTCGATCAATTCATGACCCCATATACCTTCGTCGAGAGATGCCTCCATACCGAGGATGTCACTTCCCATTAGGGGCGCACCATTTCTCATCTCTATTCAAAGAGTAGTCAGACATTGAGACATACTCGGGAACGCATGATGCTCACCATGGCTGCACCTAACCAACCAGGAACCATTTTCATTGCTCTCGGCCATTGGCTGACGGCTGACTTGATCCTCGGCGCAAAATTGCGCATCGTAGTCGATAAAGACCACAACTCCTCCCGGCTTTAGACATTTCTCCGCTTCTTCCATCATGTTCCTATAACTCTTCAAGCCACTCGAAATAAGTCGTGCATGGACCACATCGTATTGCCCATGAAAGTGCTTCAGCCCAAGGTTCACATCATCCACTTCGAACCGACAATTGGTAGGAAGAGTAGAAGTATCCACGGGTACGGGTGCAAGGTCTACGCCGACCACCGACGCGTGAGGGTAGATCTTGGCCATTTCAATTGCCCTGCATGGTCGTCTTCTCAGTCGGCTTTGGCTAACTCGAAAAGTAAATACGTACCATATGCCTGTACCACAACCTAATAACCAAGGTAAATAAAAAGGAGAATCGGTAAACGGTCCGGGACACCCGCTTACCTAAGTCGAGGATGCGTCGTGTGGTGTCGGGGGAGGGTTGGAGACAAGCCTCCACAGTGTCAGGGCAAGGCACCAAACCCCCCATCCCAATCACAAAAGCAATGTGCTGCTTGTCTCTGATTTCAAACGATTAGTGCTTGACGGTAAGAGCAAGGCATCTCTTACAGTCGCTCCCATTCTGTGTTGTCTGCAAAAAGCCGAGATTCTCGTCACGCTAATGCTCGATACGCCAGGTCGATCCACGTACCACTGGGCAAGAAGTATGCATCATTCAGCACATTATATTGTCTCCCATGAACACTCTTGAGGAATTGGGCCATGTCTCTGAACGAATAATACGAGAAAACGGAATCCTGGTGCGAAATGGTATCTGCGTCGGTTCTATTGTATCCAGTGGACGATCTCCCGTCCACAGTCGAGCCTGCTTGTGAGTAGTTGGGGGCTTCTTGGTCGTATCGAGCCGTGGTGTGGGTGGGTGGTGAGTCGCTCATCTTCTTATAGCCGGCTCTGGTTAGGTCCAGGGGTTTTGGCCGCCCACTCTGC